ATTTAGTCGCTGAAAACCTTATGAATAGCAGAGAAACACTGTCAAATATAGTGCTGGAAAATGAGCTCTTCAGGTTAGAAGGCACTCAAAATACAACTGGGGAAGAGCTGCCTCCTCAAAGTAGAGCTTACTGTGATGATGCGAATGGAGTTAGCCTATGGGAGAAAAGCCCACGTGACCTTCATTTGCTAATGGGGCACAACTCAAAATAAGGAGAAGCGACTGTAAACATCCATTGAAATTTAGAACATGGAATGTATGAAGTATGAATCTGGGAGAATTGAAAGTTGTCAAAAATGAAATGGAATGCATAAACATCAGTATCTTAGGCATTAGTGAGCTGAAATGAACTAGTATTGGCCATTTTGAATCTACCACATGGTTTACTATGCCAGGAATGACAAATTGAAGAGGAATGGGGTTGCATTTATTGTCCAAAGAACATATCCAGATCAGTCATGAGGCACAACACTGTCTGTCATAGGATAATATCCATGCACCTACAGGGAAGCCCAGTTAATACCACTATTATTCAAATTTACCACCACCCACTAAAGCCAGTGAGGACGAAATAGAAGAATTCTGCAAACTTCTTTAATCTGAAATAGATCAAACATGCAGTCAAGATGTGTTGATCATTACTGGTGATTGGAATGCAAAGGTTGGGAGCAAAAAGGAAGGATCAGTAGTTGGAAAATATCGCCTTGGTGATAGAAATGATGCTGGAGAATGCATAATAGAATTCTGTAAAACCAGTGATTTGTTCATTTCAAATACCTTCTTTAGACAGCATAACAGATGACTATACACATGGACCTCACCAGGTGGAATACATAAAAATCAAATTGACTACATCTGCAGAAAAAAACGATGGAAAAGCTCCATATCATCATTGAAAACAAGGCCAGGGGCAGACTTGGAATAGACCATCAATTACTCATATGCTAATTCAAACTGAAACTGAAGAAAATGAAAACAAGTCCACGAGAGCCAAAAATATGACCTTGAATATATCTCATACTTAATTTAGCGGTCATCCAAAGAAAATATTTGGTATATTAAACACTGAAGACCAAAGACCAGAAGAGTTGTGGGATGACATCAAGAACATCAGACATAAAGAAAGCAAACACTCATTGAGAAGACAAGAAAGAAGGGAAAGGTCAAAATGGATGTCAGAAGAGACACTGAAAGCAAATGGAAGAAATGAGGAGGTCCAAGAGCTGAACAGAAAATTTCAAAGATCAGCTCGAGAAGACACAGCCAAATATTACAATAAAATGTGCAAAGATCTGGAATCAGAAAACCAAAAAGGAAGACCACGCACAGCATTTCTCAAGCTGGGGGAACTGAAGAAAAAAATTCAAGCCTCTAATTTTGTTATTGAAAGAACCTCTGTGCAAATTATTGAATGATGCAGAAAGCATCAAGAGAAGATGGAAGGCATACACAGAGTCACTGTACCAAAAGGAAATGGTTAATGTTCAACCGTTTCAAAAGGTAGCATATGATCAAGAGCCAATGATACTGAAGGAGGATGTCCAAGGTGCATTGAAGGAATTGGCAAAGAACAAAGAACCAGGAATTGATGGAATGAAAATTGAAGTCTTCCAAGAAAGTGAAGCGGCACAGGAGGCACTCACTCATGTATGCCAAGACATTTGGAAGACAACTATCTGGCCAATTGATTGGAAGAGATTCATAAATGTGCTCATTCCAAAGAAATCATTGGATAATCTCTTTGATATCCCATGCGAGTAAAGTTTTACTAAAGGTAATACAGAAATGACTACAATCATACATTAACAGAAAAGTTCCAGAGGTTCAAGCCAGATTCAGAAGAGGCCGTGGAATGAGGGATATCATTGCTGATGTCTGATGGATCTTGGCTGAAAGCAGAGAATATCAGAAACATGTTTACCTGTGCTTT